GAGTATTGAAATTAATTAATTAATTAAAGGGCGATTCCGGAGGTCCTCTGTTTCAGATAATAGATGGCCGGGCCGTTCAGATCGGGATTACATCTCATGGCACCGGTAATTATATAACCGATACTCTGGGCTACCGGTGCTTCAAGAATGAGGCCGTACTATACACTCGAGTCACGAAATATATCGATTGGATTGACTCTGCGGTCAAAGAATACTGGAATTCAACGCAAACTACTATTTATACGAAATGTGTTTAAAATATACAAACTTTATATTTAAAATGTTAGCAACTCATTAATATTTTTAAACAAGCTATTTTTACATTTATCTAATTTTTATTTAAAATTTATATAATTTAAATAAATCTAAGAAATGAATTGGTTTTTAAGATTAGAAAATCATTTTTATAATACAATTGTATACAAAATTTACAGATTCTCTCTCTCTCTCTCTCTCTCTCTCTCTCTCACTCACTCACTCTCACTCACTCTCACTCAAAACAAATGTTTAAAAAAGTGTAAAGCATATTTTATTGACTTTTACTAAAAAATTGTCAAAATATAATATACAGTAATACAGAACCGGTAATTAAAAAAAAGCAAATCATTTCCATTGAGGACTGAAATCATTGCTGTCATGTTTAACACCGTTTTTAACAGTATTTTGTTTACGATTTATATTATTCTCAAACTTCACTTGTTTTGTGCGATCGACTGATGGGCTGGTACTCTGTACGGCATTCCTCCTGAGAAGTGAATGCATTTCCTGTAATTCATTGATTTGGCGTTTTTTGGCTGAAATACGTCGCGACAGGAAATACAGCTCCCGGTCCAGTGTTACCCGTCCCGACTCGTCGCCCATTTGCTCCAATTGTTTGCTTAAGTATTGGATTTCTCTGTCAAAAAAGTGGTCAAAAAAGTGGTTTAAAAAGTGGTCAAAGAGTTATAAATAATTACGAAATGAATGTCAAAACTAATGCATGAATTACTCGCAGATATAGTCGTGTTCTTCGTGCAAATCAAAGAGCAGTTCTTTGATCTCTGTGTCCAACACCTGCTGTCGAATGCGTTCGTCGAATATCTTGCGCACCGGTATGTTGTGGTTGCGATGACTACACAACTGGTTGTGCTGTTTAAGCCGCGATATCTCCAACTGTCGGCTGGCTATCACTGAATGACTGTTTGAGGTCTGTATGCAAATGAGCGCACATTTAATTGACAATCAATTGACAATCACTGGAAAACCAGTTCATACATACCGTTCCCAATAGAAAAGGTATGTCTTTATACTGGAGGTGAAAGTGTTTGGATGGCTTGTAGTGGGCGCCGGCTGCCCATGACTTGTGGTTAATGGCGTCCAATGAGCGGGACTTTGGCATCGCGTGTGTCGTCCCCGACATCATGTCTCTGATGGCGTGAATGGATGACTCGAATCTGTCATCACCTGAATGTCTGTCCAGATTGTCGCCAACACTACCGCCGTTTAGTCTCTCATTCGTACCATTGGTTGGCGCCGTTCCCGTTGTCGACCTCTTGTGTCCATTACTTGTGGCCAAAGGCTGTCCACCGATTTTACTGGCGTTGAGGCGCACGTGTGTTCCCTCATCACCACTACTGGTCCCCAATTGCATGGATATAGTCTTCAACTGTAACTCAATTAACTTCAACCGCGCGTCCAGTGATTCGCCGCTATTCTCGTCGCACGTCTTGTGGTGAACGCATGCATAGGTGTGACTGCGGAGGACGTGCCGCTCATCACCACCACCTCCGCGGTGGTCACCATCCATGGCATCAGTGGCGGCACAGTTGGCACAGTACGCGCTGGTCGTGGCGAGCGTTGGCTTATTGGGGATCAGTTTGTGGTGACTGTTGAGTGTCTTATCGGCCATCGGGTGGTGTTTTTGGTGCAGTTTTGTCTGTATTTTTCTTAAGGCGTTCAGCAGTTTCTCTCCTTCGGTGGACACAATCCCGACGCCACTCAACGGGCGACCGATCTCTTGGAAACTGGTCTCAGAGGACGACATGTCTTCGTATATGTCTTATGTATCAGTGTTTCTGGAAATAGCGATTCAATGAACCCATCGATGGTGTCATTGATTGACACAAACTTATGGCACTAATCCTAAGCTCGCGTTAAACAAAACAACGTTATTATGGGATACCAGTTATGGGGTGGGCGTCAGGGGGTTGTGAGCGCCACCCCCGACGGGGATTCAATTTTTATTTGTTTTCAATTAGTTTTAAATTAAAGTGCATTTTATTTCCGATGTCTCGATGACCATGATCATCTAGTTTGAAGTGTTAATTATGAGTCAATTTTGTCCGGGGTGCAATAATAATAAGCCCAACCCCTGGCCTCGTATTGTGAATTGTGGGCAAAAATGTTTAAAAATAAAAAACATATGATTGGTTGCCGTGTGAACAATGAATGGCACCACTCATAGACAACGGACTAGTATTTGGCGGCTTTGAAGACTAAAAAATATTTAGCGTAATTTTACCATGAACCTTTTTATTAGTAAATTACAATTAAAAATGAGGATCAACAATGTCTATTAAATTACTAAAGAGTGTGTAATAAATTTTCATTGTATTTGTACGTTGAA